TCTTTCTCCCCCGCTCCCCAGGTATCTTAAGCCATAGGCTTTCCTCGAACTCCGTTTTCACCACTACTTCCACCACGTCATACTAGTGTTCCTTGACCAGGAATCCGACTCCCCCCTCCCCCCTTTTCTTCGGGTCTAAGCCCTTTCTTGCCTTCCCTACCCACCGGTATTTCCCTAGTTTGCTTACCACGTCCCCATCCTTCAGTTCCCACGTCTCTTGGATCCCCACTACATCTAGATCGCTTTGTTCTATTTGGTCCACTATTTCCAACCGCTTGCGCTCACTCCTTGCGAACCCGCACACGTTCCACGACCCCACTCTCAGCTTGTGCTTTTCCCTATTGGAGATTTTGCGCACTCTATCCTTTGCCTTCCGCTTCTTCTCGGCGTTCTTCTGATTTGCCTGCTCGTCTCCCCCGCCCGGTCTCTTCTTCGCCTCTATCGCCCTCGCCTCCTGTCGCCTTACCTTCTCTGTTCCTATCATGTTCGCGACGCAAACCCTCCATCCAACCTTCCTTACGTAGTTCGACAGCTTCTCGATGTCAACCCCCAAGCACTCTTGGCTGTCTCCCTTGGTCAATTTCACCCGGAAGTGTTCATGCTCTCTGCCTACTTCTCCCCTTGCTAGGCAATGCAGTCCCTCCGTGTCACACCAGTTCTTGAACTCTATCCTCGTCATGTCCCTTGGAATTCCAAACAGCAGCAGCTCCAACCTGTCTCCCTGCCACAGTTTCTGCTTCCATCCTCCCGGCTTCTTCACCATCCTCATGATCTCTACAGCAACTGGACCTCGGCCACTTGTTTTTCGTGTTTTTTCAGGAAGGTATACGGAATACTCGGCCTTCCCAATCCGAGTGTCCGGTGGGGGTTGTGGTCCCTTTCAGTTCTTTTGCCGGCTCACCGACGCTCAATAGCGCCTCCAACATGGGCTCGTAGTCTAGATCCAAGTTCACACCTCCTGGCACAAGTACCCTAGTCTTGTGCCGGGCGTTCTGCTTAGTAAACACCCAGACGTCCCCCGACCACCCAATTTGTCATCTCCGAAGTCCCGCGGTACAGGCTACTTTCCTCCTGGAAGGTCATTTTCACCACAATAAGTTCAGGGACGACTTGCATAGCCTAAGATCCTACTCACACGCCGGGATGGATCGTACAACAACGTCCAGCTTCTCATGTACGCTCCACCATGGGTTGCTACCCCACTTACGCTCCCGAGTAGACCTATCTGCCGAAAGTTTGGCCAACAATTCCTTACTGCTTTGTACTCGCCTCTCTCCAATCGAAAACAATTCATTGTGCGTGCCGCACATCTAGCTCCGCAGTTTTTGCGTGGTTGGTCAGGTCGTTCAGGTGAGTAATAAGCTTTGCTTGGATGGCTCTGTGTTATATTGGTCCACTTCAAGCAACGAGCACCCCCCCCCCCTCCATCGTCCGATCCATTTTGGATCTCACGCCGGAGAGTTTTGGGGTGTCTTAACTCTAAGTCCTCCACCGCCCAATGGGGGACTTTAGTATATTTTTTTAATGCCGTACCAATAGGCATTAACCTTAAGTAAGCTTGGGCTTACTTTGGACTGTACCCTC